TAAACAAAGATATATATATATATATATATATATATATATATATATACGTATATTTGTATGTAGACTAGAATTCCGATTATATTGATCTAAGTTTGATCAATGATATATCGCGCGATTGTGTGCTCGTTTGATCGAGGGTGCGGAGGAGAGCGAAAAGCTCTGTGTATGTTTCCTTGATGTTCCCAGCTCTTATTCTTTAATCGAAAGCTCCATGAGTGAATAAAGGATGCTCGGTCATCATAGGCAATTCAACCTGTGTAAATAACGTCGTTATCAACCAAGTATTAGCATGTAAATTAACCCTGAAGTGACATAGCGACTGTCTTCAAAAATATAAAAATCAGAAATGTAAAAATGTTTAAAATATTAATATTGTATAATAGAATAATAGAGAGAAAAATAAGGAATTAATCGAGAAGTACTTACGGTTTTCACAGAAAGTAAAACGGTATTTTTTAACAGATTTATAAAACTATTAGGTTGAAACAAAAGTTCATAGCTATGAATTTTCGTTCCAATCTGATATTTTTCTAATAAAGTTAAGCGTCTAGTAAATTATCCCGCCTCTCAGATCTGTAGATCTTTGTATACATGCGCACCCTCCATCATCGACGCACCTAAATGCCTAAAGGACCTTATCAAACGTAGTAATGCGTGATCAACGACTATCATTACGGTCATCCACGCGACAACGATGCTATCGATTTTTCCTGTCCTCGAAAACGACGACGCGGCTGAGAAACGCACGTAACTATGTTCGCATTCCTCCAATTTGATGTATATTTGCATGTAAATATCTCTCTACACTTATCAGATCGGGAAAAAGAAGAAAAGAAAAAGGAAGAAGAAACAGAATCCTCATCGTAATTACGTTTACGACTGAGGGTAAGAAAGAAGGGCATCTTAGTGTAATTACTCCGTGGACACAATGAAAATATAGAGTTGAAGTCTGTCAATTCGTGACACATTATAAATTCTAAACCTGTGATTTTATCGAATCTAACTTTAGGGGTTTTAGCTTTAATGCTCTTGGTAGAATGGCAGATATGTATATGTCTGTACTCTATATATACGATCCGATTCATTCTCGGTTTACGAACATATCGTATTGCACGTTCCGTTGTAATCAACAACAAGAGCAGAAACCCGATCATTAATCCTTAATCAGTATGGTGAAGTTATGCATTTGATATGGCGAGGTCACGGATAATTAACTCTTGAATCTCAATCACTGGATCCTCGCTAAATCCATTAAATTGAGGTTTTGAATATAAGAGAACGTGGTGATTAGAACATAAAAAATGTATTTTTTCAGAATATGTTACTTGTTTTAATCATAATGCTTGGAACGAAGATAGAGAGAAAGAGGGGAAGAGAGAGAGAAAGAGAGAGAGAGAGAGAGAGAGTGCGAGAAACACAAACCTAATTATTAATCTCATATATTTATTCGAATAGATTTTTTTACGATTCCAAGGTGGAATACAAGAATTCAAAAACTTTGAAAATATAATTACATATTTTTAAATTAGAGGAAAATAGAAACAAAAGGTAAATAAGAAACCTCGATGAGAGATCAGCTAATAATCAGCTTGACCAAGCAACATTCTTGATAATAGCATACCTAATATATCCATAATTCGTCGCTGCTGTTGTACCTAGATGTAAGTCGCTTTTAGAACTACTCGCTTAAGGACCCATTGTGCTGGTTAAGGATTAAAATATATTTTTTCAAGCAATTAACTATTGTAATTAAAAGTGTGAGTGTGCATGTGCGATTTCAACGTTGGTCGCATTGAGAGGATAAAGGCTACGACATGATAACGGAGAGCAGGAACCTTTTATTTACATTGAAAACTTTACAGCCGATCCTTCTTGTAGATAGCCCCAAAGTGGAACTAACCTTTTTATTAAATAAATTATATCACACGTCCTGTACCAACTTGATTTACGATAATTAAAATATAAAAATTGAAAATAATGCAACTTTGCAATCATAAAAGTTTCACTGCCGCACATTCCGATCCCTATACCATTTTATAATTTCACATCATATATATTATGTATAAACTATAAGAGAATGTGCATACTTCTAAATATAATTCCAATAAGAGAAAAATATTAATGATTTATTGAAAGAATGTCTCTAAATTGATGATACGGCCAAAAAATAGCAATTTATAATGAAAAAAATTAATTAAAAGAAACTGTAGAAACTATAGAATGTTTTCCATACGCTTCAATATATTATTGGTTAAATTATGTACATAAATTAAAGCATAATAACTTATCCGCGAGATAAATCTACAACTAATTTATTATTTCACGATACTTTAATCTTTTAATATCACTCTGATAAAAACGAAAAACTTATTTATTATTTCACGAAATACTTCATTCTTTTAATATCATTCTGATAGAAACGAAAAATATTTGATATATTGATCGATATTTTAATACACAAAATATACTTAAACGAACTTTTCTCAAAACTAACTCGATTGAATTGTTTTTGATAGTAACAAACTCTTTGATTTTAAAGTCGATTTCTTTATGCGTGATGGCAAATATGCCGTTTATTTGGTCTATGTTTCGTTTTTGGCACTATCTAATCTGTCGTGATGCAAATATTATTCAATTTCTGTTACAATTCTGCCGATATAATTTAATGGACCTTGCTTCTTCCTTTATTAAAAGAACTTATATTTTGTAAAATTTATTTTTAATAGAATTAATTTAATGTGAGTGAAAAGATTTACCGCGCGATACGCGTTCAAAACAAATTCGACACAGGCCGCAGTCTTAAGTTAGAAATATTTTGAAAAAAGACATATAATAAAAATATAAACACCTTTGTACGACTTTTGAAATTCAACTACTTTATAGACAAAGTAACATTAGCTAGCGAACGAGGTTGACATATATAGAAGGCGAGAATAATAAAAGTTATAAAATTCACGAAGAAGTAATTGAAAGAAGCTGAAATGGCTCTAGTCAAGATTTTATTTCGTATGTATATTTTTACAAGACATACATTATACGTTTAAAAATAAATATTAATAAAATCCAAAACAAAATATTTTATTGCATACATATTTCAAAATAAAAAATAATTATGCGCACGCAAACACACACATACACACATCTTATCTTCGAGTATCTTTGACTATTAATAATTTTTTGTAATATTAATTGACATCGTACATCTCTTAAAAATATTATAATAATTAAAATATTATAATAATTAAAAATATTATAATAATTTTATTCTAATTGTGTGTGCTTATAGTGGAAAAAGATGACTCATTAAATTCTCAAATTCCTTCACTAAAAGACAACATTAAGTGTATAGGAGAACTGCATTCTATTATCAAAATTTCGAAGTGTAATAAACAAAAAATAAAGGTAATTTTTATAGATAAATTTTTAAGTACCTTTTTCGCATGCATCATAAACATATAAATTTGTATAATTTATGTTTTATATATATAGAAGCAATTAATTTCTTCATGCGATAAAAATGAAGATGATATTATTATTTTAATGGGCAATACTACAGCTTTCTTGTCATTGAGTGATGTTGTATATAAGGCGATTGAAGAAGTTATCGATAAAAATATCTCAGAAAATATAAACATATGGATATCAAAGCTAACGAAGGAACTAACGCATTTATTTAATCGGTAAAATTTCCAATTATTTTGCAATTTTTTTAATACTACAATTTTTTACAGTATCAATATGTTCTTAGATTTATATGTGGTATACTGAAGCAAACATTTATCATCAATATGTGCGGCTCCTCTATAACCGCAATGACAAGTTTGAAGAAAAATCATCAAGTGATAAAAAAAATGCTTACGTATTTAATACTTAACGAATCTGAAACGAATCGTGATAATTTTAATGAGTGTAGTTGTAATGAGTGTAGTTGTAATGAGTGTAGTTCTAATGAGATGAGTTATAATAATGATAGTGATGACAATTATGATAACTCGACTTTATATAATACTTCCAAACAAGAAATGGTAAAATATCTTCCACATTCGCGAACAATAAAATAAATTTTCGCGAGGCTGCGTTACGCGAATCGTAATTGATTCTCTTTACAGGAAAAGAGAATTTACAAGAAACAAGAGCAAAGTGTTATAATATCGGTGGAAAAAGCAATACATATAATACAGAATACGATACATAATAATAACTATATAAGAGAAAAAATCATGAAAACGAATGACGCCTATGGCAGAATAACGGCTAAAAATATATTTTCCCCCATAAACGTGCCGCCTTGTAAGACTTCCACTAAACGTGGATACGCGATGTTGGCCAGCGATGGGAAGGGTGTAAGAAAAGTGTTGAAAGCACATACCACGGTAAGAACAGCCAAAATCTGTTTAATGCATGGTTAGCATGATTTCGTTTGTAGCATGTGGATGGGATTATTAATTTTTCTACGTTGTCTGAAGAGTAAAAAATGAATTAGAAATGATGAGAAGTGAATTATGTGGAAATTTTGCAAATGATAATTCTATCTATTAAATTAGTAATTAATTAAATTAGTCAGAGTTTAAGCAATGAAGCTAGATTTTTACAAAATATCTTTTTTCCAGTGTGATAAAATTTCTGTTGTACCTGGCACCTGCATGCGTGTAAGAAGTGGAGATCCCATACCCAATGGTAAAAATAATTACAATTGTAAATTAAGCTTGTTTGATTATAGTAAAGGATTCATTACTGCTTTTATGCGCGATTGCAGGAGCAAATACGGTTGTAACGCCAGAGAATATAAAGATATTGGATGAATGCAACGATGACGATTATTTTAATATCAACAAGGAATACGAAATTGAGGTCTTGGTTGCCCCAGAAATAAACAAGAACATCAGGTATACAATGAAAACAGTTCGATGTCATTTAAAACCTGATTTGTTCTATTATCACAATTTGTTTATTGTTAAAGAAACGTTGGAGACGAAATACAGTATTCCCAACTCATTATAAAAAAGTTCACATATCTCGGACCAGCGGAATTGGGTATTTTGACATTATGTAGCCTCGATATAATTCCAGTCACTGAACTTCCACTTGTAGGTCTGCTATCTATCAATAACGAATTGAAAGAATCTGAAAATTTAACTTTAGGATACATCTATGAAAGCAATAGAGTAACTCTGACCTCATTATTAAAAAAGAATGGATATGATCCCGTCGACTTCGGAATTTCTGCTTACAAGTGAGTGCATTTAAAATTCATTGTATTTCCTCTAACTACTGTAATACACGATTTGATTTACAAATAATTAACATCATCGTAGATCTTAATTTAACGATCATGTTCTTCCAGATTGAACGCTATAACAAAAAAAATCGAAGACGCTTTGAACAAAGTAGATGTACTTGTGATAATGGGCCATTCAAACGACAAAGATATATTAAAATCAATTTTAAAAGAATATTTTAATGCTATAATACATTTCGGTATATCCTTCCTTCTTATATATTAATCGTCAGTATAATATATTATGGTGTAACACATCCCTTTACTCAAGCATTGTTCTTTCTCTTTTAGGTCTCTTGAACATGAAACCAGGGAAATCGACAACGTTTGCCTCGTGCACGTATAATAATAAGAAAAAGTTTTTCCTATGCATGTCGGCAAATCCGACAACAGTTCCCATTGTCGCGCATATAGTGCTTCTACCACTTCTAAACACGATGTGTGGCAATTTCTTCAAACAGCCTATCATTCTGCAGATTTGCGTAAGACTCATCTTCTCTCATCACACATATAGCAAGAGATGTATTTATTAATACGATACTGTAAATTTACAGATGAATAATCACGAGTTGCATTTGCGTCCGAAATTTTCATGGACAACTATACGATGGACAGAGGAGGAGATGTTTCCAAGAGCTTATTGCTTAAAAAATCAACATCAGGATATAATAAAATATCAAAAGGCTAATGCACTTTTAATGTTGCCGCCGCGCACGCGGCAGGTACCGAAGTTAGACGCAGCATTCGTATCAGGAATATTGTTTTTCAACGATTGAAAATAATCATCGCTGAAATATCTCCATGTATTCCCTGCCCTGCAAACGAGAATGGATTGAAATGAATTGAAATGGATTCAGATTTTCAGAAATATTGATTCACGAGTATTAAAATGAATCCTTTTTAATCCTAAATGCATTTTTATTCATTTATAGGAATTGTGCATGGAGCATATCTCTATGCCTTTCAATCTAAAAATAATATTAGTTTTTTCTGTGCATTGTGAATACTGAATTTTGAATAGCAAATTTTGAAATGCAATTTTTCAATTCAATTGCATGCAATTAAATCTAATTGAATCCAATTAAATCCAAAAAAAAAAATATTTGTTATTTAAAATACGCATTCGGATAGAAAAAAATTTCAATCCATTTTAATCCATTTTCATTTATTGGGTGATCGATCAACAAGACATTCGCATACGTTTGCGTATTTAATTATATTACATTGTACTTACTTATATTATATTTAATTATATTAACAAATTATAATTATAATGACATAATTATATACATTTAAATTATGTTCCCGTGTATAAGTTATATTCCCATGTATAAAAATTTTGTATACATTATACAATATGTATAAATATTTATAAACACATATAATTATAAAAATTTATATTCAAGTATGAAAAATTTTTTATCAGCTATCTCAATTATACTACTTTATTAGCAATTTATTGGCGAAATATTAAATATTGGAGATTTATTGGATTATGTACTATTATATATAGGATAAGAATTGAGTAAGATCTAACTAAAGTATATAATCGCTTTTGTGTAAAAAGAATGTGTGTGCAAGATATTGCTCATGATTGGCATAAACAAAATTGAAAATGTGTTATTCACTGATACGAAGGAAATCTCTTAATAAGATAACGTTTATCTCGCCAACTTTTTTGTACCAGTCCAATTTAATAATAGCAATCTCGCCAACTAAATTCTTATTAAAGATCAACTTAAATCACTTGAATTTGAAATTATTCTGTTTTTTAAATTAAAAAGTAAGTATAATTTATAGATTTTTTTTAATCCGGTTTTATTTTCATTATATAATTCGGAAAAAATCATTGTATGATATAACTTATATAAACTATAATTCTTTGATAATGTATATTGTAATAGAGATATCTTATATATGTATCGCTTATTAATTTCAATGCACCTTATTCGATAATTTCTTTGTAAAGAATGAATATGACATAAAATTTTATATTGACTTAAAATCAAAATCCTGAAAAGAATTTTGACGAATCGTATGGTCACTTTTTAAAATATGTATAATGATTAAGAAATATCAATATTAATATGACAAAAATAATTATTAAATATTATTGATGAAATAATCGATTTCAATTACTTGGAATTACGTATTATTAAAAAAAAAATAGATTTACATAAGTTTCCAACTTTCCGCACAAACTTGTTTCTAGTTTGAAACTAATTTAATGCACGTATACATACATGTACATAAATTAAAGTAGTCTTATCTTATTCCGAGATAAAATTGCAACTTGTTTATTATTCTATGGAGTATTTGTATTTGTTAATATTATTTCGCTGTAGGAAAATGTACTAATCGATATTTTGAAGCATAAAATATGATTTAAATAAATATTTTAAAATTATTGAATGTTTTTTACTTCAGATTGGCCAAGAAACTTTGGATTTTTTCTTGCGTGAATAGATTGAATATAATTGTCATAACAGAAAGAAATTTCGCAAAATTCAAATTCATACATATGCACAAGTATAAAAATTTATATATCATATATAATTACGTGTGCACATAATCATGTATAATACATAAATTTTGATAAATAATTATTAAATTTAAAAAAACTTTTATTATTTATTCTTATTAAAAAAAACTTCTATTATTTATTCTTATTTATTTATTCATGTATTTAATTATTTTATTTTATGATTAGATTATAATAAATAATAGAAACAATTTAAATGACTACGAAAAATAAATTTCGATTATCTGTCGTTAGCAAATTTTGTTCGATTTTTTTTACGATTCTGTCAATATAATTTATATTGTGGTAAACCTTATTATTGTTATTTTTTTTTAAGACTTATAAT